TCATTGTAACAAGGAGAACCTAATGACTTTGTGATCACTGTAAAATTACTGTCATATTTGGTAGCAAACAATCCGTGTAGGCTTGCTAAGGTTACAGTTAGTAATCCACTGTATCTTTAGTTTGAATGTTTGTGTTTTTTAAGTGATAACCGTATTAGAGAGGAAGCTATCAGCCAAAATCAGTTTGGGAAATAAGCAAAACTGGGGATGGGGAGGTGCTTTATTACTAGATTATGGTGTGTTTGTGAAAATTCAGGGAAAGATCTGAATCCTTTGTGATAAAGTAATACCAGTGGCTTTTTTATCATGTCCCTCTTCCCATTGAACTTCACTTTGAAAATTTTAAATCCCCAATATTTATACACTTGGGATCTTTCTAGGTTCTCTTTTTAATGTTTAAAAATATGTTGACATGATAGTTCAGTTCTTAACCCGTGATTTGGGCATGATACAGTAACTGTCATTGGTATTTAAAGAATACTAATCATGCATGTATGGGGAAAAATACATAATTATTTCCATAGATCTGGAAAACTCATTTAACAACTTAAAACCCATTTATAATTAGAAAATAAACTCTTAGCAAAGTAGGAATAGAAGGGAAAGCTCATGACCTCATAAAAGATGTCCTCCAAGAAATCACAGCAAACATTATACCAAATGATGAAACATTGGAAGTGTTTCCTCACAATCAAGAAAAATTCAAGGATTTTCAATATCAGCTCTTCTATTTAACCCAAGGTTTCAGCACCCACAGTAAGACCAGAGGTGAATATAAAATGTTTAATGGTTAGAAAGGAAGAAAAAAATCTTACCATTAATTGCAGACAATATAATTGTTTATGTATGTATTTGTTTTCTGTTTCAGGGTAATAAATTATCACAAGTATAGCAGCTTCAAACAGTACACACTTATTACCTCATAGTTCAGTAGAATTTTGTTCTCTGCTCAAGGTCTCAGAAGGCAGAAATCAAAGTGGCTCCCTGTTTCTATTCTCAGTTGGAGCTCAGGGTCCTCGTCCAAGCTCATGCAGTTGTTGGCAGAATTAAATTCCTGTGGTTGTAGGACTGAGGTGTCCATCTCCTTGATCGTCTGGGAGCTGCTCTCAGCTCCCAGAAGCCGCCTGCAGTCCCTTGCCACATGCCCCGCCCTATGACAGTGTACTTACTCAAAGCCTCCAGGAGAGTCTTTCCTTTCCATGTGCTAAGACTGAGTCTTGTATGATATAACAGTAATGGGAGTGACTATCCCATCATTTTTACCATGTAAAATAACCTATTCAAGGGAGTGACTATTCCACCATATTCACAGATCTTGCCACACTCAGTGGAGGAGATTACATGGGGGTGTATATCAGAAGGTGAAAATCTTGAGGACTTTCTTAGACTTTTGCCTACTACAACACAGAAAATCTAAGAGATCCTTTAAAACTATTATACCTAATATGACATTTTAACAGGTTGCTAAATATAAAAGATCAACAGATGAAAAAACAAAAGTATTTAGACAAGAGTCAACTAATAAAAATTGTAATAAAAAAGAAGTTTCCAATCTTAATACAAAACAAAACAAAACCACCAGGTATTAAACTAGGAAAAAAATTCTAACAAAAATAGTACATGATCCAGGGGAAATTATCAAATTATAATGAAGGACATGAAAATGAAGTACACCTAAACAAGTAGACATATGTACCACAGTCACAAATGGCAAAACTTAATATTTTTGTTTGTTTGTTCTGTTGGGTTATTTTTGGCCGAGCCACACGGCTTGTGGGACCTTAGTTCCCCGACCAGGGATGGAAACCAGGCCCACAGCAGTGAAAGCGCCAAGTCTTAACCACTGGACCACCAGGGAATTCCCCAAAACTTCATATTTTAAATAAGTCAGTTCTCTCCAAATTAATAAATGCCATGCAATTCCAGACAAAACCCCAACAAATTTTTTTCATGGAACTTGTCAAGTTCATTCTCAGATTAATAGCAAGTAACAAAAGGAAAAGTACAGCTAAGAAAAAAATTGAAGAAGGAGGAGGAAGAGAAGGAGATGGGGACTCACACTTCTGGATAATACAACTCACTAAGAAGGAGACACTAAAATAACAAGTGCCAGGTGTCTGTAAAATAACAAGCCCAGATACACAAATCAACCAAGGAACACATTTACATGCAGGTCCCCACACGTGTGAAAACCCCATTCATGGCAAGGGTGGCATTACAGTTTAGACCAGTGAATGATGCTGGGACAACTGGCTGTTTATTGGGGGGAAAAGTCACTTTTTCACCCGCACATACAAAATTATAGATACTAGGGACCAATGCGGAAAACAACATCTTAACACAGGTAGAAGAAAATAAGAGCCTATTCTTACGACATCTGAGTAGGAAAGGAATTTCTTTAATGAGATAAAAGCACGAACCATGAAAGAAAATCTAACTCTGATTACATTAAAGTGTAAAACATATGTAGAACAAAAGTCAGCATACATGAAGTGAAAAAAGCAATCCATAGACTGAAAGAAGTTTTCAATACCCATACTCGACTACGTCAACGGGGCTCCACCGCTTGCTTCCACTGGGTTTATCAATGGAGAGCCCAGTGGAGTGGAGGCAGGCAAGTGCTCTGAGGTCAGAGCATCTATCCTCCCCGTATCCGTGGATGTCCCCATGACTGACTGTGACTCTCAACCAAAGACCGCAGCTCCTGAAAGAGCCCTCTCCACACAGCATCACTGTCCCCAGCTTTCTCCTCTGCTCCACTGGCTTAGGGGTCCAAGGGCCCCACTGTTAATAGCCCTTATGGTTTCCTTAAACCCTGCCCACACCTTATGTATACTCACTTCTGATCGCCTAATTTAAGTCGGCCATCTGTTCTCCCCTGGGACACTGACTAGTAAACCTGGTACAAATGCTGCTGCTAATGTGGTGTAGCCCTGTTAGGCAAGTTACTTAACCTGTCTGACTCCAATTACTTCATCTATAAATGGTGCAGCTGTGGGAATTAGTTAGTATGACTTACATAAGCTCCGCAGCACAGCATCCAGCACATGAGCAGACAGTAACGGTTGCTATTGCTGTCATAATGGTGGTGGTTATTACTGATGTTACTGCTAATATTTCTTCATTGCTACCCAGTGATGTAAGTAGGACCTAACCATAGCTGGGCAAAAACACCAAAGCTGAACCTGAGACAGGATCCCTAAAACATAATTTGCTATCCGACTTAAAGAACTTCCCAGAGTTTTCCTAACGTCACCATCATAATAAATGTTTCACGATTTACTATTTCCACACTCTTTACGAGGTAGTATTACAGAGAGTTATCTTCGGTCCACTTATGATGAATGGGCCAGTCCAGTTCCTCTCTGGCAACAAAAGAAGTCTTCACTATTTGCAAAGCCAGGCCCCACCAATCACTCACATTCACCAGACACCTGCAGGTGTGTCAGCCACAGCAGTCAGCGATGCATTTGCAAATGCAGGGCTCCTTAACTAGCAGCCAACACAAACCAGTGATGGAGGCCAGCCGGCACCCACTCCTGCACCTCTGCTGGCTGCAGGCTTCATGGGTCAATTCTGCCAACCAATGACCATGACATTGGTCGTTACGTACCTAATGACACTTATGTCCAGACAGATTCAATTTTATATACATATTTGTTAAATACTACAAGTTACAACACAGAATAAACACTTTTTAATTGTTATGACATGTTGAGCTATTTGAAAAAAATTATGCAATGGGAATTGTGGGGAAACAATGTAGTAAACACTTGGTTACCTTGCCCCGTGGAGAGGGAGGGACATTCTAAACTGGAGGGACAGTTGAATGTAGGAGGGACATTCAAATCATGTATATCTCTTAATTTTATTCTTAGAGCTTATTTACTCCACCCTAATTATATCTGCATGGTGTCTAAGATCTGTTGCCATGTTAGAGCCTTAGACCGTGTGAAGGGTAAAGGAGGGGACCTTCCTAGGGTGATGGACATGCTCTGTACCTTGATTGGGGTGCTCATCATGGATGCATACATTTGTCAAAACTCTTGGAACTGCACGTTGAAGACCTGGGCGTTTCTCCGTAGGCCATAGCTCAGTTGTAATCGAGGTTATAGGAACAGGTAGAGGAATAGAAAAGTTAAAACACAAGTTCTAAGAGGATACATTTGAAAGTATAATGTATCCCACGGTACCAATTTCTTTATGTGACAGAATAAAATCTTGGAATACTAAGCAAATGGATCTGAACTCCCCAGGGGTTTACTAACTAATTTCTGGTGAGAGGAGGAGACTCAGAGACCTGTGAGTGACCAAAGGGAGTCAATTGACCATTAGGGCTTTGCAGGGAGTAAACCGCCCACGTAATTATAGGGTCAGTGCCTCAACTATCTGTGCTCATTCAGGTGGAGTTGACCTGGTGACACCCTCACCTTTTTGGGAAAGGCTTCAGCCCCTAAAGTATCTTTATTTTTCAGGAGCCTATGCTCAAAGTCATTGTGGTTTACCCCCAAGGGCCAAAACACAGTGAGATGGATTCCTAGGTGGCTGAACAAGAAAACTACAGATTATTGACTGACAGCTTGTTGTTACTCTAAAAGGATGTCTCGGTGGTGTGCCCCAGGGCTCTTTGTCAAACATAATCAACAATTTGGATGAGAGCATAGAAGAAGTGTTTACCAAATATTCAGAAGTCACACGCAGGGGTGAGACCACCAGTAAGAGATGCTACATGCTCACAATTCACATCACCCAGACAAGAATGATGCCTGGGCCCAAGCCAAAATGTTAAACTAGAATAAATTAAAAAACAAACTGCCATTAGTTTGAAAAAGCCAATTGCCAAATCCAGGGTGAGAGCGGGGAAACCAGACTTGAGGGAAATAAGCCCTATGGTTTTAATTGACCACGTGTACACTTATGAGCCAATGGTTGTACAGTTGGTTACAGATTGACTGCATTGACAGGTCTGCTGAACTCAACACTATTGTCTCTGGTTCCAGGTGCTGCATTTTACGAGTGACGTTGACAAGCTGGAGTGTGCCAGAGAGGAGGGACAGGGTGGGAGGAGACACCTCATTCTACTACCAACATTTTAGGAAACATATTGCTTAGCCTGAAAAAGGGTAGACAGGTACGGGTTAGGCCCTTAACCATCCTGATTTGCCCAGGACTGAGAAGGTTTCCAGACACAGAGCTTTCAGGGTTTTGTTTTGTTCTGTTTAAAAGATTTTTTTGATGTGGACCATTTTTAAAGTCTTCATTGAATTTGTTACAGTATTGCTTCTGTTTTATGTTTTGGTTTTTGACCACAAGGCGTGTAGGATCTTGGCTCCCCGAACAGGGTTCGAACCCACATCCCCTGCATTGGAAGCTGAAGTCTTAACCACTGGCCCACCAGGGAAGTCCCAGAGCTTTCAGTTTTAAAGCTGGGATAATCCTAGGCAAACCAGGACAAGCTGTCACCCTAGGTCGAGGTGACAATGGGGTAAGAGGTACCAGGACATACGACTGCTGATTTCCAAATATTTGGAGGGGCTTATTCTCAACGGCCCTTATGTGGACCAGATCAGTGGTAGAACTTACCCAGAGGCAGAGCTGAACTCCAGGTAAGAAAGACTCTGAGATTCCCAGGGAACTTTCTCAGGAGAAGGAACAGCACAGGGCAGGTCTGCATGAGGAGGTGGTCATGACTCCTGGGGTATGAAAACCCTTTAAATACACACGCACCAGAAAATTCATCATGGTCACAACCTCTGCATTCAGTGATGCTTTTATTATATTAATATATATTATATATCATTCTACATAGTAATATATATTATTCTATTATATATATTATTATATTACATTAATCACAACAGTGTCTTGATACATTTGGAAACTGGGAGACATGATTTAACCTTTCTATACAGAATGCTCTGCTCCCAGCTCCCATGCAAGTCCTCCAACCCCCTCGCCACTTCCGAGTTTGCCATCCACAGGGGATAGGGTGAGGCTGGATGTTGCCTGAGATTCCTTTCAACTCCAGGGTTCTGTGTGTCCTGGGCTTGGCATCGTGCTTGAGCTACAGTAAGTGCTTATCATCAGCATCATCAGTGGCAGGGAGCATGCTCATGTCCTTTCGCAATCACTTCTTTTCCTTCCCAGACACCACGCTGCCTGAGGCAGAGCCCGCGGGTAACTGAGTAACCAAAAACCTGACAGAGGCCTCGCTGAGTAAGGGGTTTGTTTTCTCACAGAAGAGGAAGTTTGGAGATCAGCAGCTGCAGGGAGGTCATTCAAGAGACAGGCTCCTTCTTTCTTCCTGCTCCAACTTCCTCAGTGTGCAGCTCTTGTAGCAAAGTGGCTGCTGCAACTCCAAGCCTTGCACCTGAATTCCAGGAAGGAATAAAAGGGAAAGGGGGGCTTCCCTGGTGGCGCAGTGGTTGAGAGTCCGCCTGCCGATGCAGGGGACACGGGTTCGTGCCCCGGTCCGGGAAGATCCCACATGCCGCGGAGGGGCTGGGCCCGTGAGCCATGGCTGCTGAGCCTGCACGTCTGGAGCCTGTGCTCCGCAGCGGGAGAGGCCACAACAGTGAGAGGCCCACGTACCGCAAAAAAAAAAAAAAAGGGAAAGGGAAGGCCATAAGAGCACCCCAGCTGAGCCAGACCCCTTTTAAAAGCCATTCCTGGCAGCCCCATGCAGAAATTCCTTGGATGTCATTGGTCAGTACTGGGTCACACAGCTACTGCTGGCTGCAAGGGCATTGCCACGGCATTTAGGGGACACATTGCCACCCTGAACGACACTGGGATCTGCTTAGTAAGGAAGAAAAGGAGAACGGATATTGGGTAGGCAGAGAACAATGTCTGCCTCAGCCACCTCTGGGCATATACACTTGTCACCTCCCTGGCTGTCCCTGCTCCTTGGGGAACTAAAAAACCACCAGTCCTAATGGCAGGGCTGGAGTCTGCAGCCCCAATAGGAGGGCGAGGATGTCAAGAAGAGAGTGAGTACAGGCTGCCATGCTGTGTCTCGGCAGGGAGCTCCATGACACCCAAAGCAGAACTGGTCGAAGTTAACCCTGGGCCCAGGGAATTTTTGTTTGTGACAACAGCACGGTTGGAAATGGTAAAAGGATTTGGGTTAGTCTTTTTTTTTCTCAAGACTGGTGGAATTGGCATAACTGTTCAAAAGAATGTTCTACCAGGACCCTCTGTTCTAAAAACAAAACCAGAATGACTGAAAAGTGAGCCGAGAGGAGGCAGGCCTTGTGCAGAGTGAGGAAGGTTAGTTACATGGTTTGTGCAGTGATGAAAAACACAGAAGAGCTAGTCCTGGTTAGATGATTCTCCCTGGCTTGCTGTCTGCCAGTGCCTGGAAGGTGCCAGTGTGCATACCTACATTAACCTGGTAGCTCCCAGCACCCCCACACACAGGCACCCAGATGAGAAGGCACGTGAAGCTGGTTTTGCATCACCCCAGCCACAGCTTCCTAATCCAGCCCTGCTTGAAGCCTGGTCCCTGGACCCGAAGCAGCATCGCCAGCAGCACCTGGGAACTCAGTAGAAATGCAAAACCTCAGGCCCATCCCAGACCTACTGGGATTCTGATATATAGGCAAGTTTGAGAATCCCTAGCCTAGGTCAGTGTCTAATAGCAGGGAAGTATTCAATAAGAGTTAACTGGTCTGTGGTTTTCTACCATATAGCTATCACAAGAGAATTACTAAGCCAGTAAAAAGTGAAATCAGTACTATCTAATAAGTTCAGCAAGAGTTTAGGGTGTTCAATGAATTAGGGAAACTTTCTCTATAGGCCTGCCATTGAATTTACATTTCTTTAAAAAAATTTTTTTTTAATTCTAATCACAGCATCTGTCTTAAAGGTCATAGCAAGAAATGATTTGTTTGCAGAAGTTTATTTCATTAGAGTTTTGGCACCAAGTATAGGGATAAGATGTATCCAAAAGTTCTGCATACTCCTAGCATTGTCATAGCCCCAATTAACGAGACAGGCCCCAATTTTAACATGATATCTGTTATGGGATAAATTGTGCTCCACCCACCCCTCACCCCAAATTCAGTCCTAACCCCCAGACTTTAAAGAGGTGACAAGGTACAATGAAGTCATTAAGGTGGGCCCTAGTCCAATATGACTGGCGTCCTTATAAGAGGAGGAGATTAGGACACAGACAGGCACAGAGGGAAGGCCATGTGAGGACACAGGGAGAAAACGGCCATCCACAAACCAAGAAGAGAGGCTTCAGCAGAAACCAGTACTGCCAAGCCTTGATCTCAGACTTCTAGCCTTCAGAATTGCGAGAAAAATTTTTCTATTTGATCTACCCAGTCTGTGGCATTTTGTTAGGGCAGGCCTAGCAGACGAATAACGTTATACAAAAGACTCATGATGAAGTTGGGCCTCTCCTGGCACTTATGTGGTGGTAGGCATTTGTGCTGTTCCAAATACTTTCGGCTCCCTACCTCCTGGGGAACGTCATGATACTGTACCTTCCCACCCTCTGAAGAAGTTAGGCATGGCCATGTGATGTGCTTTGGCCTATAAAAGGTGAGCAGAAGTGACATCACTTCCGGCAGGAACTTCACGAGCCGGTGGACAGTTGTGTCTGCTCTCTTTCCCCTCAGCCACAGCAGGGAACAGTCTCCTGAGGAAGCTATTCCATCAGCTTGGCCCCGGTTGGCCCCCAGCCAACCCAGTAATGGACTCACAGTGAGAACGGCAAGTAAACTTTTGCTATTTTAAGCCCTGAGATTTTGGCATATTCATTATTGCAGGGAACCCAGACTCTCCTGACCGCTACATCAGTTTACTCACCATTTCAGATCTGAGTCATCTCATTTACCCAATCTCAAACATTCAATTGTTTTGTTGAATTCAGATGATAGGCCTATCCATTAAACCATTGATGGGGGGGCAATGGATTTTTTTAAATCTAAAATACGTGATACTTGCATGCTAGTAAGAGGGCACAGGGCTTCTTACAGAAGGTGGGAAGATGTCACTGAGGTTAGTCCCAAGAAAAGACAATTTCGCAAGTCTCCCTGCACTGGGTAGGCACAGCTAAAGGAGGGTACAACCAACGTGCTCCAAACTGGCAGTTCCCTCTGATTATCATCGCATTCATCCCACACCTGGCGTTTTACACAGAAGAGACTGAAGCCAGTTTGGGTGGTTGAGCTGGGACTAGACCTCATTCCTCCTGCCTCTCAAACAAGAGCCCTTTGCACTAGACTGTACTTGTTTGTCCTTTAAGAATCAAAAGACAGGGCCTCCCTGGTGGTGCAGTGGTTGAGAATCCGCCTGCCAATGCAGGGGACACGGGTTCGAGCCCTGGTCTGGGGAGATCCCACATGCCGCGGAGCAACTAGGCCCGTGAGCCACAATTACTGAGCCTGCGCGTCTGGAGCCTGTGCTCCACGACAAGAGAGGCCACAACAGTGAGAGGCCGGCGCACCGCGATGAAGAGTGGCCCCCACTTGCCACTAGAGAAAGCCCTTGTACAGAAACGAAGACCCAACACAGCCAAAAATTTAAAAAAAAATAAATTAATTAGAAGAAGACTCAACATTAAAAAAAAAAAGAATAAAAAGACAAGAATCTCACTCTAGCCAGCAGTAGCAGCTCCTTATCCTAAAACCTGGTCATAATTCTATTACCAATGAAAACTGTTTTGCACGAACATTTGTTTCCAAAAATGAATATTCCTATGATCCAACTTGTATGCTTTTTTCAGCCTAGGTGTGTAGAACTTCTGAGGACCCTCTAAGAACAAATCCCATTTCTGGGCTACCAGGTCTTCCACCTTTTGGCTTTACCCCAGGTAGCCCCTGGCGCCACTCCAGCCAGCCTCACTGCAGCCCCATGTTTGCTTGCTCAGTAACCCCTTCTGCCTGAAACAGCCTGCCCCTTGATATTCTCCCAACTTGCTGTCTCTTCTAAACCCACCACAAATCCAGCCTGTCTTGAATAGTTTCCTGCCTTGAAGATCCACCCACTGCATCATTACATTCTAAGAAACACAACCAACCTCTGTATGTATATAAATTGTCTAGGCAATTGTGTTATCTATGTATTACTCAGATGATTTACTTATCAGCTCTTTATTCTCACTATTAGATGCATGCCCTGTAATGTACCTGTGGAAAGAACGGTAAGGAGGGAAAGAAAAGCAGAATGGAATGTGGGTTTTCTGACATATTGTTGTGTTATCTAGGCTGCCATATGTGGGCAGATGCCTTCCTCTGTGGTGTGTGAAGTTGGTTTTGGT